GGGCTCGGTGCTTCGCCGGGAAGTGGACCAGGTGGGGACGGCAGCCGACGGGGCGCCGGGAAGGGCCGAGGTCCGCGGCTCGGCCCGGACTCTGCAAGGTGGTAGTGCCGAGCTATAGACCTCTGTTGGTCCGGGTATGTGAGTTTGCAGTTCTCCGGGTGCGTTGCTCGTATGAGGGCAGTCCGGTGCTCCCTTGTTTGCACTTATTTTATGATAATGTATGGGTGACAATACTCTGTTGGCATTTAATGAGTTAATGCTAAATTAATGCTCAGTGAGGGGTGCGTGTCCTAAAAAGCTAAACTTAAAAGAAATGTTTTATCCCATTTTCAGTCTTGGTGGCTCTATGATGGCTTTTTGTAACTTTGTTTTCCATTTAATTTTTAATTTACGAAAGTCGTGCAGGATTAAGTACTCTTCAGAGCTCTTGCAGTTCATGTGAATACTATAGGAAAAATATGTCAAAAAACAACTCGGCTGTAGAAAAAAGTCTTTAAAAATGTGTCTTTGGTTTGTTAACATGTTTTGTAGTGATACTTTTGAGCAATTTCCATATTGCTGTTAAATGTACAAAATATGTTTTGACTACAGTCTTACGTATTATCTTGTTATTTCTGTAGAAAGTAATTTTGAAAGTCTTTTTTTTCTAAGTCCCTAGTAAATGTTGTAAGGCAGTATGCACACGCTCAAATAGAGCTTTTATACAGATTCTATAATGTGCAAGAAGCTGAGACTGGTAGTGGGTTGCTAAATGCAGAAATAGTCTAATGGGAGGATACCAAAGCTTTTATAAGAGGATTTCTTCGGGAAATAGCTGGTAAAATGAAAAGTAGGAAAAAAAATACAAGTTAGTGAAGTGTTGTGTGGAGGTGAAAAACAGGGCTTCATAAAGGAAAGTTTCATCTCTAAGAAAAAAGGTGGCTGAACCTCTTTGTGTTTTTTAACTGGGTTGAAGCAATAAATATCAGCATAACTGTGTGATGTTAAGCTCACTTGAACATAACTTATTTGGAAATATCAAAGGCTATAATATGAATATTTAGAAGCTTGCTGTGGGAAGGGCACAGTTCTGTTAGGACACTTGAAAATCCACTTGCTAGAAGTAATCAGGATATTGTTACTTTTGAGCTGTATTTATTAGGGTGTATTGGTGTATGCCTAGTGACCTTGTTTGAGAATATTATTCTGAATAGTCTGTCTGTGACAGTGAATTTACTTCAGAAGTAATCAGAGACTCTACAGCAAAGATACTTGAAGATAGCTTTTTTGAAAGTTTTAAATGGAATAAATGTGAGTGGTTACTTGTGTTATGTAAGTAAAGATGAATGCTGCCACTTCTTGCTTTTACAGTGAAAGGTAGGGAAAAACTTATTTTGGTACAGTTTTAGTAGAATTATATAACATGATGATGAGGAAACGGCTTACTGAGTTGAACTGTAAACCCAGATGGCCTCTAATCTTGTCAAGACTAACTTATTATGCTTACTGGCATAGGTCAGGATAGAGTGCCAGTTGAAATGTTGGGTCGGGCACAACTGCAAAGCTGAACAGTTTATCTGTAACTGAAGAAAGTTCTTACAAAACATACCTGTTTATTAAAATAAGCTGAACTGATAACTATGCATTTGTTCTGAATGCTTGTCAAATTTACCTTGAGTTGGCAGGAGATCTTCCCTATCAACTTTCCACAGGATGCTTGTGCTTCTACATGAAAACAAAGAAAATGTGAAAGGGCATTGTGTTCCTACTTTCTAAATAAATCTGACAGTTCACCTGGATGAAAGTTGCACAGAAGGTGTGATTATACAGCTGATCTGTCTGGGTTTCCCTCCTCCTGATGACAGGGCTTTTATTTGCCTGCCTTGAGCCTACAGATAGTTCTTACATAGTCATAAGGTTAGCCAGCTCAGGGAGCTTATCCAGTTGAGAACTCATCTGGGTTTTTTTAAATTTCAGTTTTGTTTGTTGGCTGGCTGGTTTATAGATGGTACCTCTTAATTGCATGGCCTAGTGGACACTTCTGTTGGGATGAAGAAGGGGGTATGAATGAATATGCAAGGACAGTAGGGCACAGATCTGCCAGTTCCCAAAGTAGCAGGCACTTAATTATACCTGTGTTGCGATTCTGATTGTGAGATGCAGAAGCTGAATTACTCCTGTGTTAGTGTGACTTAGGTTGATATGCTGCTGAGTGGAGATGTGGCTGCGGTATAACGAGCTGACTGGCTAGATCCCATTTCCTTAATGGTGCGGTAATAGGCTGTGTTTGCATGAAAACACTGCTTTGTGCAAGTGCACCTACTGAGGGCTGTACTGTGCGATTTTGATTGAATACTATGCCTAAGCTAGATAGGTGTACTAGTGCAGTTTTTTAAACTTAGTTCAGGATTAATAGTTTTTTGTCTGGAACTGGTTATAAAAAAACCCCACAACTTCTTAGATACGTATTAATTATGATTTTTAGGTGATTTCTTCACCTGCACTGTGTGAAATCTTGGTGTAAAAATTAATAGTAGATGGGTTGCGCTAGTTTGGAAATAAATGAGGGTTGGTTTGGTTTGTTTTTTTTTTTTTTCAGTTAAAGCTGGGGTCATGTCCTAACATAGCAGTTAAAACTAGCTGGAAAAAGTCATTCTCTGCAAGGCTGTTTTGCTTCTACATCTGTAATGGAACTTCATAGCTGTTATAAAGAAAAAGCTTGTAGCTTTGTGCAGTGGCACAGCGCTAGCAGCGCTTAGGCTACAGTTGTTATTGCAGCCTGACAGTATATAGTTGTGTATTCTTTGCCTTTTTGAACTGGCTATCTAATTTTACTGCTATAAAGGAAAACTTTGTTTCTGATCTTTCAGCTTTAACAACTTTTTATTACTCATATCAAAACTACAAGTGAAAATGAAAACATTTAACATATAGACTGCTTTATACTGTGCAGGATGACACTATGAGAGAGCAGCAAAGCTCTAGGAAACCCAGATTATTTTGTTTCTTTTTGCTAGAAACTATAGTGTGAGTGTCACGGTGTTCACTGCTTAAATTAACCTGTCGTAAAGAAAGTAAAAATCCTTTTCTTGATGTCTATTTTCCATGTATTGTATCAAGTTTCCCCTTCAGTGCTCTGTTGCCAATGTCTTAATATTGAAATAAATGCAGAAGTTTGACGTACTAGATCTCTAAAGTCACTTATTGTGTCGAATCGATATCACCCTGGACCTGAG